ATCACTAGGCTGAGGAGAAAGTATCACTAAATTGAGGAGCATGATTGGAGGGAGTGGAGCATCGCTAGATTGACGACCATGCTCAGAATGAGAAGTGGAGGACAACTGTACTGAAGAGGAACATGATTAGAACAAGAAGTAAAGTAACACAAGACAGAAGATAAACATTCTTAGAATGAGAAGTGGAGCTACACTATAAAGTTTTACCCTGGAACAGATGTTGCATTCAGGCAAAGGGTGTGTACACATAGCAGAAGATCCAGATTGAGTAATACCAATACATTGACAATACCGATGCTACATGTACATGTATCTCAATGCCCTAAATTCAATGTTGACCTACAATGCCTAATTTCAAGTTCTGTTATTCCTTTCTAACAAAAGCCAGGTTTGAAACACTAATTTTCAGATGCTTTAATCCTTTTAATCATGGACGCAAGGGGAATAGAAATAGACACTTGGCAATTTTACCCACTAGAGTATTTCTACTGACACAAAACGCACAGAAGAACGGTTGAACATGAAGTTGACTCTTACCTTTGATGAACTAATGAAAAAAAAGGAAATGGATAAGATGGACTTTGCAATATACATGTATGGGTTGGGCTTGGAACAAGACGTTAATAGCACAGACTAGATAACTATGTTATTCATTTACATACCTCACTGCGAGTGTGGTCACTCAACTGAAGGTTCCATGCACAGGGCAAGTGGTGCACAATGTAAGGATGTTGCTTGATGACTGCATTAATGATATCCTGAAATGTAAGTAAAACAGAAAATTTTATTCTTATACAAAATTACACATTATTTAACAACCTTACACTGCATATATGAAGAAAACACCAGCAAAATAATGGAATCGAATTATATGTCTGAAGAAGTTCTTGCCAAGTTTGAGTTGTTTTCCTGAATAGTGTGCAAATACTTATGTACCTGATCAGCAAGTGACACTGATAGAAGACTCATGAGTTCCTTCTCAGCTGTCAGTCGCCACATCTGCATCCAGTTCAACTCCCTTAGTTTGTAGAGGTCAAAGAGCATCACCCCTGTGTTAAAACCCCGCCCCTGGAAGAGAAATAATAATTCACTTGCGACCAGATGCATTTTAAGTCCGAAATTTACAAGATATCTCATCAACGTTTCAAATAAGTCCACAACTAATCAATAACTCTTGCGTCAAAGCTTCAATAACAATTCTGCATGAGAGACGCTGATCAGCTCATCATCTCATCATCTTTTTGAAGCCTCAAAAATTACAGAATGAAAGCAATGTTGCTAAAAGACGCAATCACAATTGTCTACACACTAGACAAGTCTATACACTACTTCACAACTTCATTAATGTTTTAAATTGAGCAACTTTAAGAGACAGCAGGATTGTATTTTGGCAAATTAATGTTTAGCCTCAGACTGCTGGATGTGAGTCTCCTATTGATCTTTATATTTGGAACCCATTTAGCTGTTGTTTGGTGAAGTGCAGTTCTTGGCCCATGGACTTTGTAGAACCTACTGGTACAGCTTCTGTTTGGTGAGAGATTTATTGGCATGGTGTTTTCATCGCCTCGACCTTGGAACACATGGACGCCCAAGCACTTTCTGGCAGACTGACCATCTGCAAGCACTGCTGGAAAGAAGAGAAAGAAGACTACATCGGTGACACCTCCTGCTGTCTCAGCAGCAGCCAGTGGGGCCACCACTGCCCGGCTGACAGATCTGAAAGGCAGCAGTGCATACACACAGATGACTAATGTCTCCCAGATGGCTGATGGCTACCATGCAGCCCTAGCAGCCTCAACATTTACATTGACAGTGGACGGCGCAGGTCGAGCATTTGGACCCGAACTGGACATTTGGTCAATCCATCTCTTGCACTGTTCCTTCAGTTGGAGCATCTGCAGGAGCGGGGGTCATATCCAGTTAATGGTACTCCCTACGATTCAGCTACTGCAATCATAGCAAAGGCAGATGTGGTCTTCCAAATTTGTCACTGGTTCTGGATGTAGAAAAGCCAGTTGTGCGTAAACTGGGTACAATGCGGTGCAAAATCAAGATGCTAGACATGTGGCAGTCTGCCTTTCATACCTTCATGCTTCAAGCTGCTTAAATATGCCGAAATAGTTAGACTAGCCTCTCTCCAATTTCTTGGCTTTGCCTGGCATACGTATGATAAGCAGTTTTGCCTAAAACAAGAGACTGAGCCAACACGTTCTTGGGAGAACCTTGATTTTGAGCTTTGGCTCACTGTTGCAGCAGCTGGAGTATCAGGGCATGCTCAGTGTCGCTGTGAGGCACACAAGTAGCTGGAAACCATCCTGGCCAACGCTTTGCTTTCAATGGCCCCAATGGTTGTCATTACCATAATTGCCACTAAGCCCATAGTTTTGCAAATGTCAGAGCAGTGGTCACAATAGGTATCGATGTAGAGCTGGTGGGCCAACAAGGTAACCACAGCCATATTAGAGAACCGGCTTGGTTAGTTAAAGCCGATATTAAATCTACTTTTCGACTGCTTCCCTGATAATTACAAGCTGTTCGGGTTTAAATTTGATGGAATGCACTATTATGATAAGTGCTTACCAATGGGTTGTAGCATTTCATGTTCCCTGGTTTGAAAAATTTAGCACCTTTTTTTTAATTTCGAGTTAAGTTCGTTTCATATGTGACTCACTACTTTGGCGATTTTTGTAGAATCATCATGTTTTGAGAATCATTATAGTTTGTATTTACTTGACACATTCAAAACTATTTGCGGAGAGCTTGGAGGCCCCTTTGCACATGAGAAAACTATCAGCTCAGTTAAGACTGTAATATATCTGAGATTGGAGATCGCTGCAATTGCAGGACAAGTGCAAGTTCCTCTAGAGAGGGTTCAAGTAATTACTTAGCAAATTCAAACAGTGTTGATAGGCATAAAATGTCCTTAGTTGACATTTAGTCTCTGGTAGGTTCCCTTAATTTGTTGTCTAAGGCAATTCCACCGGACCAGGCCTTTTTGTGGCATTAAATTGCACTCACTAGGGGGCTCAGGTAGCCTTTTAACAGGGTGTGCATTTCCCAGAGTGTGTGATTAGATTTACGGACATGGTTGGGCTTCATTACCCACTATAATGACACATCAGTATTTGCTGCTTCTGATTGGCAGTCAAATGAAATGCTGGAACTCCACACAAATGCGGCTGCATACTTTGGTGCATACTTGGGGGGGGCAAATGCATCCAGGATCGCTGGCCCAACAGTGTATTGCATAATCCCCTCTCGATTGCCTTTTTACAGCTGTAGCCACTCTATGTTGCCCTACAATGCTGGGCGCCAATCCTTGCTGGCTACAAAGTCACTTTCCATACTGACACATACTGCTGTGGTATGTCCTATGAACGGATTATGCCACTCATTCTTTGCTTTGTGCTGCTACATGTACATGTATGTTTGCATTCCAATGTTTCATTCAAGGCAGTCCGTGTACCAAGACAATATAATGAGACAGCAGATGCCTCGTCTTGTTTTCAGATGTCGCATTTCTGAGCAGCGGTCCACTCCACAGATGTGGAAATAACTCCTCTTCCTCACCTGCCACAAGTCTTATAGATAGCCCAGTGAACTGATTACTAAGTACAGCTCTTGCACCGAGGGCTTTGGGCTTTGAATCAGTTTGGGGGCCAGTTTCCTACAGGAAATGAAGAGTCCATTTCAGCTGATGACATTCGTCATTTCACAGCTTGGTTATTATTGCAGGGGCTTTCATCAGCTACATTGCCACGTATCTTTTTTTGATTTTTGCCAATTGGGGAATTTGCCAAATGGCACATCCACGATGGGGTATTGTTGGCATCAGACATCCAGTTTGACGACGTTTGCACACTAAATGTGTCAGTTTGCATTCTTCTCTGACATTCCAAGAACAATCAAAGTTGTCCCCCACAATCCATCTGATTAGTGCGTTCGATCAGTAGATAAAGTCCTTTGCCCAGTCTCTGCATTTCTCCAATATAACGCAGCCCAACCCTCATCTATGGGTCCATTTTTCTGCCACTTTAACAGTCAGCCTTTCACCCAATATCAGTTTAATATGGTAATACAAACAGCAGGAGTACTGTATGCATGCCTTATGATAACATTCGCAACATGGGTTGTAGGCAATCAGATTGCTTTCTGTCATACACACATCATGTGCCTACGTGCAATTTTGACAATAGATGATACTCAGATTTCTATTGTGGGGGTTACGCGGATCAGCCACATAGTAACAGTGCTTATTGAACATGGACATACCTTTGGGGATGGTAGTCATCACTTATTAGAAGTTCGTTCAGAAGTGAATAGTTTCTGCACATTAGGAGGTTCTATTTCATTCCTTGGTGGGGATAGTAGACACTTTCACCGGAAGTATGTTTAGAAACAATAATGTCACCAGATTAAAATGTTACATCCCATTGCTTGGCTATTTAGTTGGTTCCTTTAATACTAATCCTTCTCCTTATCATAGCATGACATGTCTAATTAGTTTGATGACATAAGCCTGGTTAGCAACACACTAAGATGCCTTTCTTGTACATGTAGCACAACTTCGCTGAGCTGAATGGACACTGAACTTGCCTGTACACCATACAGGTATAAATGTGGTGAGGCAAAGGGAGTGCTGGCGTGGGCGCCTCATCTGATAGCCGGTTTGTCAACAAATGCAAGGTATCCACCCCGATTGTTGATAATTCATACTGGAACTAATGAGCTAGTATGCCACAGATGAATATGCTCTCCGGCAACGAATCCCTGTACTTTTGCATAGCCATGCTCTCCTTTACCCACAGTCCATATTAGTTTGGTCTGACATTTGACCTAGGATGTGTAATATTGGAGCAAGCTCCAATCAGAAATTGAACAGAAGCGCCCTAAGGTAATCGATGGGCTAAAGTACAATGTGCTTCCAAAAACACTTACTGCCTACATCACCCTACTTCACTTCCTTAAAAAGAAATTCATGTGACTGTGGCATAACCTCCAAATTTGTGTGTCAGTGTTTCATTTTGTTACAATAACAGCGCCCTCTGTAGTTTTATCAAGGGCAGTCCTGTCATGAGGTCACTACAATTCAGTATTGGAACGTGACCCTACATGTAAATTCACATGACGTTCATTTCACCTGTCTCTGTGTCACTGATTTATTGTTATCCACCTTGCAGCATCCCCACAGAAGTGTCATAACGAAACATGGTGTCAGAATCTATGCAGACTTCCACGCAACCTACAGTTCTGCTGACCCACTTGACACAACGTGTTTGGGAATATTCGCTGACTTACCACGCCTGCACTTCGTGTCACTGAATGACCCTGCCACCTCTACCGCATTCTGTATGGACTCACGTACGCATGTTGGCTGTGTATGTACAACTTCACAATCACAAATAAAAAACATCAGGTTCATTTTTGCTGTGATAACTGGTTAAGTCACACACTCTAACTGCATACATTGTCAGGGTATAAATGTATTTCCAAGTGCTATTTTGTTAGGCATGGGTCAGTGTGCATTTCAATTGTGAAGAGTTTTAAGAGTCTTAGCTGCTGATGTTTTAAACTAAGGGTCCTTTGGCAGTTTCTTATACATTGAATTTCATTGTATACTTAGAGATCATTTGGGCACAAAAAAGACGGCAACTCATTCTAGATCTAAAGTGCCACTACCAGGATCATTAAATTTGCAAACAGATAACTTAAAATCAAGTAAGGAAAAATTCAAGCAAGTTTGGGACAGCTACGAAATTATATCTGGATAGATAAAGAGACTGTTATAGTGTATATCGCCCATCGCCCATACTAACTTGAGACAAGGAAAATCAAGTACCAAACATGCGTACAAATATACATGTAAATCTAAGGGCAGTGCACTGTTGTACAAAGTGAAAGCTCATCTGAGAAGGATGTGTTTGGATCATAATGACTGATACGTGCACTAATGGTGAAGTGATGTATGTACATAAGAATGCAAAACGTCATCATGCACGAAAGATATTCACACTGATGCAAATTAAAGGTAACTGTCAGGCGATTCTGTGACTGTGAGAAAATTCCAATGCTACATTATACTGGAGGCTTGTTTGCCCACGGGGAATGAAATAACTGAAACTAGTCAGAATCTTTCTACATACAAGGACACTATGCCTTCAGTAAGTACTTGCAAACTGCACATAAGAAATCCTAAAAATAAAAAAAGTTCCTTGTACCATTTGTGGCTGTTAAAGGTGACAAACATGGACCACTGATAGGGTCAAGCACAGCGCAGCAAATGAAGCGGATAAAAGTGAAGTATGACAACATTGCAGTTGCTGAACTGCAGGACAATTCGCACCCTTGCAAGACTTCTACTCCACTAGTTACTGCACATGTGATCCAGCCTGAACAATGTCAATCACCAATTACCCAAACCAGCCAGACTAAAGAAGAAATCTTCAAAAACTATGAAACAGTGTTTGAAGGCTTGAGACACATGCCAGGTCAGGTACATCTACAGATTGAGCCTGGTTCCAAGCCAGTAGTGATGGCTCCACGTCACGTTCCTATTGCTGACAAGCCCATAAACTCAAGCAAGAACTTGACAGACTTGAAGAACTTCAAGTGCTGAAGAAGGTCAAAAGATCTTATACAGACTGGGTTTCCAACTTGGTGAATGTAGTCAAGCCAAAAGAAAAAAACTTGTTGTCTGTATAGACTAACGGCACTTGAACGCAGCTCTAAAGCGTGAACATTACCCCTTGCTGGTTATTGATGATGTTCTTCCAAAACTGGCAAAGGTCAAGATATTCAGCAAAGCAGACTGCAAAGAAGGGTTCCTGCAATGCGAGTTGGATGAGGAATCATTTCATCTAACAACCTTCCAAATACCTTGGGGCAGATACCAGTGGTGCCAACTACCATTTGGACACTCGCCATCTCCTGAACTATTCCAAAAGAGATTGGATCAGAGCCTCGAAGGTCTCACTGGTATTCATTAGTGTTGGGCGGTTCCAGAATTCTTAGAGTCGGTTACGGCTCCAGCTAAGGACCGTGATTCTGAGTTAGAACCGGCTTCCAAAGATATAAAGAAAAGCATAAGGTTTAATAAAACACATTAAAGATCTGTCACTGCCATGCCGCACTCGCCACTGCACTGCACTCACCAATGGCACAACAGACTGGCTTTTGATGTTTCCTGGGCTTTAAGATTATCCACAGAGGGTATTTTGAATTTTATTTTTACCTCTTCGTAGACTAGTCATAGCTGGAATAAATCTGCAACATGTATGTTGTACAACCATGATACAACTCAGCACTGCTTCCTCCTGCACTATTTTCCACTCTATGTCCATGTATAAAAAGACTATAATCAGAACAACAACCAATTTGTTATTGCAAGTACATGTAACTTTAACCACAATACAAATGGAATCGTCGACCATGCGGTGGAACTTCATGTATGGACTGGATCACATGTACTTATTGAACATGTGCCAACGTATCGTAAATGGCTATGGACCATGCATAAACTGGTCATTCGTCCACAGTGGGCGCATCAAAAACTCTGATATGTCCACTATCTTGTAAGCTATGCCATTGCCCGGATCCATGCATGGAACCGGCTCTGAAGTGAGAAGTTGAAAACCAAGACCCTAACTGGTGCATAAGTTTGAGCAATGGCTAGGCCATTTCTTAACCATGCGACGATTTTGCCTGATGTCATACATGTACATGTATATGCAGAAAGTACAACACCTCACACACAAATACTGTATTGTATTGTGTTGAAGTCACAGCCGGCCGTCAAAGCTCCACTGCACCACACATGCTATAATCAATGTGGTTTGGTACCCAGACACAAGGGTATTTTACAGTTCATTTGTGTACGCATTTTCCCTTGTGTGGAAGGGTGCCTTGCTAAATGTATAGCATGCTATACACGTACACGCGGGAGCGACGGTGACTAAGATTCAATGTTTGGAGTTGTCACTCACAGGCGCTAAGCCGTGACTGGGACTCTGATTTGATGTTTCGAGTCGGCTCTTTGAATGTGGAACCGCCAATGGTGGGTACCCGGTTCTGCACAAAAGCAGAGCCGCTGACTTCAGTTTCGTTTTGGATCCACAGTTCCACTCGGAACCGGGACTACAACACAAGCCTAGTAATCATACTATCGCTGATGACATTTTGATCACAGACCAAAGTAGCGCTGCTGATGAGTTATCATAGATCACGATAGAAACATGACACACTGCAGTTTCTTGATCACTGCAAACAAATGAACATCAAACTGAACAGAGCCAAGTCTGAATGCAAGTGCCATGAGGTGACATTCATCAGACACCACCTACTAAGCTCAGGACTTAAGCCAGACCCTGATAAGGTTGAGGCTATGCATCCTCCACATGGAACAACCAACAGATGTGGAAGGAGTACAGAGATTTGTGGGAATGGTAAAATACTTTGCCAAATTCCTACCAGATCTCTCTTACATCAGCAAGCCTCTCAGGCAACTAACAGGTGCGTGCATATCTCAAGAAAAGCAACCAATTTGCCATTGAGGAGGAAGTCGAGAGTGTTCACATGATCAACACACATTTGATTACACACAAAAATCCATGAGCAAATCAAGTCAGCTTAGGCTGAGGATGAGAGCCAGGAAACTATCATACACTGCATCCTCAGTGGGTGGCCAGACAACAAGCAAAAAATCCCTTTGTCTGCACATTTTTTTGTCCACTTGTAAAATTTGTTCAGATATATTTGTTCACAAGTTGATTATGTGTTGTTTAAGTATTGTACCAATTATGTTGTTACTCATAGACATTCTTCTTTAAAGAAGAAAGGCTCTTACAATATTAGCGCCCTCTGTAGTTTCACTAAGGGCTGTCACAAGGTCACTACAGTTCAGTATTGGAACATGACCCTAAATTCACATGACATTCAATTCACCTAAAAAACTGTCTCTGTGTCACTGATTTCATGATATCTACATGTACATGTACCTGGTGGCATTTCCATGGAGTTGTCATAACAAAACAATTTTGAGTCTGCATATAATTAATAAATAGCAAATGGTAACAGTAACCCAAAAGCAGAGGTGTTCAAGCACACAACAGTGCTGACTTGGCATTCCACAGGCAGTGGCTATGATGGAAGCAATTCCCCAGTATAGTCGTCTGTAAATATACCTTGCTGGCCCTAGAAATGTTTTCGCAGGTTGTACTTTTATGCATATTTCTAATGACAGTAGTAGTGCAATACATCAGTGTGCTCCCATGAGGTCACCTGGTAGAGGCTATTTTTCTTAAGACATTACATAAGAGAGTCAAAAATCCCTGTACATAAGGACTAATGCCCTCATCACACTGTGATGATGACCTGGAAGAGCCTTCTATTTTGTAATATTTCATAACGTGGGTAGGACAAGATGAATCTAAGAAAAGTGGGTAAAAAGTTCTTTCAAGATCGTACTAGGTTGTTACTGAGTTGCCGAAAAAGGGACTCAATAGGGGACTTGCAAAATTAAATAACACGCAAACTAAAAATTTGTTCAATACTAAAACGCATAACAAGAAATTGCAGGTTTAATATTGCAAGACCAAGGTAGACGGAACTTCTGAGTAACTTCCAACAAGGATATTTGCTTCCACCAAGAAATTAGAGCCCTGCTACATAAACTTTGAGCATTCTCAAAATTTTGGCATGACCTCCCGTCCATGAAGACCTACCACGTTGCTATCAGTTCACACTGAGTTCTTTCTACAATGTGCAAGATTTCATCATGATTAGCTATGCTCTCCCAATTTGCTGAGGACATAGTAAGATGTTTGAGTGTGATGGGGATTCAAGCAGTTCACACATTTTTACGGTATGCAAAATACAAGTTACAATCTGTGTGGAAAATTCTGAGTTCATACAGGTATGTGCATACAGTCTGTTAATATGAGGTTTCCAAATGCATTTGTCTTTGTATGAGACCACACATAATCAACAAAGGATGGTTTGCTGTCTGTGGGATAGTATATGAAGACTTCACCCCTGCGGTTCAAAAGGGGTCTGACCGTCTCTTTTCAGGTAAATGCATGTTTACACACTACACGAATGAATCATTCCTGTTAGATCTGCTATTAAACAAAAGTGGCCAGAGGACAGTATGAGTGGTTCCCAGCTTGACTCTGAAATGTCTTTAAACCCACTACCACCTCACCAGTGCTGGCCAGGGTTTGTGCTTCTTCCATAAGGTTCCCAGATACCAGTCACTCTGGTTCTCTACCAGACCAATGGCCTTCTTGCCAGTCAACTTAACAAATATCCTCCACAGCTCAGCGATGTCAGTGGCAAAGGTCACGTCAATGTCTAACACTATGGTCTGTTGGGGAAATGTACAAATACAATGGTTATGCACTCCTACACAGGGGTGCGCTCTTAAAAGCTTTACAGAAACTGGGTACACATCTCCCATGCAGTCAAGAACTTAAACAACCATCAATACTATAAAATCTAACATCAATAAGACATTTTGCTGTCATGAAATTCCCCAGCAAACTGACCCCACAATAGACTGTAAAATATGATGCATGTGAACAAAGTTAGGGGCATTCCTTGGACGCAAAAAAGTTTATGTTCAACTTTTTTTTTAAGAAACCGATCTTTTCTTAACAAAGACATAGTTTTGGACAGCAAAACTGAAGAACAAGAAACCAAACATACGCCCTTTATCTGTTGCTCAGCACAGCCCTTGTAAAGCACTGATAAAATCAATAGTAGACAAATGTGGGTGCGATATGTACAAATTGCAAACAGCTGTGGACAAATATTGTGGATTTTGAATGGGTTACATATGTGTACATGTATGCTAACTGTTCACACATACAGAGGGCGCATATTCAATCTCCAGCTGAATGTTCCTAAACCAGTAGAGCACAGAACAGCATTGGCACAACACAAATGTTGTGGATTGTCAACAGATTTGGTTCAACAATTACACCTAAAACATAATGACGTAAAGCAGTGTCTACCATAGTGCAATGTGGGTGAAAAGTGGGGATAGAAATCCAAGATGGAGGACACGATCGTCAGTCATGCTAGTCTTCGCATAACTTTAGACGGAGCTAACTTGTGGTCTCGTGGAAGCTTGAAAAACTGCAATTTTGGCCTTCGCCGTGTGCTTGATGCAAATGATAGCACACAACAGTTAAAAAGAACCATTTTGGAAAATATACGATTTCTCAATCTCAGGACCTTTTTGAAAATTTTCCTTGCGCATAGTGTTTACAATAGCGTGCATACAATCGTTCCCACATTTCACCCACAATGCACTGCAGTAACCATCACCTTAAATCATTTTTGCAGGTCTATTACTACAATTGCAAGTTTACATACATGTACAAGACATGTACCTACAATACAGTTACATCAATACTTTGTTGCAAAAGAAATATGTTCTCCATAGTTAAACCATGATGCATTGATAAACAGTGAAGCAGGTGTAATGTTGCCTAATGTCAAGTACATGTATGTACACATGTTTATGCAAAAGTTCATGTTGCTACAACACATTACCTTTTTAATATCAACAGGAAGGATCTTGGTGATTAGTAGCTTCATGAGACCAAAGAGACCTGAGTAATGCTTGTTGGGTATCCATGACACATCACTCTGCAATTAAAGAAGATAGAGTATGTGAGCAGCTGTTTAACGGCATGCAAGGCAGCAAGATTTCTCAGGATTAGATTATTAATTCTTATTATTAACATCATTATTTGGAATGATGCTGATTGAAAAACAGGGTCCGTAAAAGACTATTTGTGCCATTTCCACTCAACCAATTACAGGCAACATGAGACCAAAACAACTAGAGATGTGGTTGTGACAAACAACCATAGAGCTGTGTTCAGATTTAGAAGGTTTTCAACATGTCATTTTGCTCTTCTTGCATATTTCAATCAAATCAGACATAAATTCAGAAGATATATAATGGCTTTCACAGGTGCATCTTTCACGTCATGTGACGCGTCACCTGAAGACTTCATCATCACATGATTTATATTTTCATCTACAATATTGTAACGTCAACTGCCTTTAGGGGTCTTTCTCACGCCGACAAAAGACGCTGGGAAGTCCGAGGATTTTTGTGGCTTGCAGCCATTTATTATCACTCTGTCACTCTTGCCTGACACAAACACAAGATTGCATCCCCAAACACTACTGCTCCAGTGTCGCGGCAATGGGTCTCCCGGGCTGACCAGTAGGGGCCCACCACACGGTTCTACCGTGGATCGCTACTGTTTGTATTTTTATCACCTCATTTTTATCGGAATTAGGCCTACTACTAACTTGGACCTTCCCATTTTCGAGCAATGAACATGGCAACTGAGCGACACAAAACGTTGCAGATCACAGTTTTTTCCTGCTGATACTGTGCCAGATTCTTATGAATAACCCACTACCAGAAGTGCCGGACCTGATATTTTCCGAGCACTGGATGGCACCTCCCCTTAACATACCATAACTACATGTTCACCAAGGATCAAATGAGTTTGTTCCAAAACAGTCGTCTAGCAGACCTGCAGCTATGGATGGGAGACTTCGGACTGAAGTTGACTTAAAACTGATGTCTCATTAAACCTACATGTACATGTTACTAATCATTATGCTAGTGGGAGATGTAGCCCATATCGACCCAAATATCCATGCATGGTATGTAATAAGGCAGGTAAGTACGGCCAACAGGCAACAGAATGCGAGGGATTTGACTGGTGGTTTCACAGAAACTGCACTGGCATGAATGAATACATCTATAATGAACTCACTGAGCATCCAACATACTAATGGGAAGGCTGCAACTGTGGTCTTCCGAACTTCGACTCGTCATATTTCAGTAATTCAAGCATCAATTTGTAAAACAGTTGTGATGATCTCAGCTTATCTGTGGAGTCTGATGTTGTATTCAATTTGGCTTCAGCTAGACTGAGGACATCCACTCCGATCCCAGACCATAATTTAAATGAAGTTAGCAGTAATTTGGGACAACCAAGAAGATGAGAGTCTCCCCCACCTAATGTGGGTTGAGTCTACTACTGCATACCTACATGTACAGGACCATATTACCAATACCTATGCATTATTTCCTAGTCCATTACTTCCATTCGCTAAATTCTTGATCACCAATAGTGCGCTCCTACTTACTCACCCCCACGAAGGCGTCAGCCATATTCAGCCTCTTATCAATGCACAAAGTGCACCGAAGGCCGTGTGGGAAGGAGGGAGAGAGACTGGTAATCTGGTAGGTATGCAGCAGTAGATTCAACCCACTCTAAGTGGGGGGAGAGTCTACTGCCTGCAACCTACGCAGATTACCAATACATATGCAGAGTAGCACTGAACCAACGGAGGATGGGAAGGCGAGGACGCACCACCAAGCCACATCATAGTGATTGCTTGCGTGCCTTTTCCTGCAAGGGTAGAGGACGGTCAGCAATGGAGCTACTGCGATGCTGCCCAGCCTACAGTCAGTCCACGTGTATGGCCTCCCTGCAAACATCATCGAGGTAACAGGAGGTGAATGGGGTATGGATTTCCTAAAAAGGCTTGTTACATTACAGCGCTGAGAAAAGAAGGAGGATCATAGCGGCAAGGCCGCATTGCATTGTGGGAGGTCAGGGTGCACCACGGGTGATCAAATCTTTTCAGCAAGTAAATAATAGGCACCTGAGTAATTTGCATATGTGGTGACTGTTCGCGTACGTATCATCTTTGTTTAACAGTACTTGGTGTAACTTGGATGACAATGAAACATGGCTAAGTTACCAAAATGTTGCCTTGAAAATGTGTGCAAGGTCAATGGGCTAAAATCAATAAAAAATTACTTGATGGCATCATCATGACATTTTTACCTGGGGTGATTGGGAGTGTGTTAAGTAATACATTGTGGGTAAAATAGTAGGTTGGTTTGCAGAGCATGTGTGGGCTTTGTTTTTAGGGGTGGGTGCATTGGTGCTTGTTTATTTCCAACAAATTTGTTTAAAATTTGGCTTTATGTGACTTAAGTACCTTGTAAAATTTATGAGATATTTAACAACTTTTTTATGAGTTTGGACACAAAATAAAAACGACACTAGTAGTTAATGCCCAGATAGTTATAGACAATTTTTCTTCATTTTGAACTTCTAAAGGTGATAAAGCAGGTGGCGGTTGGCGTGGAAGAAAATTTCTTTGTTTTCTTGCAAGTCTAAACTCTTTGTTTCAAAATCAAGGTCTTTTTCTAGTTCTGGGGCACTTTGTAAGTTCAGCGTAGGTTGCAACCCTGTTTGTTTCTTAGAGGTCGCAATTTGTAAATTATTCTTGTATCCCTCAAACTTGCCAATTCTGAGATCCATGTCAAAAAGAACCACATATAATCCGGGTTTCTCCACTAAGTTCAAAGGAGTTTTTGGCGTACGGTGGGAAGACTTGAAACTGATTAATCGATTGCTTAAAGTCGGGTTCCGAGTTAATGACAGACTCCACGATATTGAGAAATGGTTGTTGAGCATCTAACCCCGTGCCTTCAGCTATCACGCTGGGCTTTGTTTGTGCTTGCGCTCAGGAAAGTGTACACTTCAGCCCTTATGGATTCATTGACCTTTGTGACACCTACATGTATGTTGGTAAAACCCAAAATTCGGGGTATAAAACCCCACCAGGCCGTCTTGACAGCGTCAGACTGCTCGATCTAATTCTGATCTAATAGGTACTCACATGGCCAGGACGCGTAAAAATTGAGATCCTCAGCCCGCTTTTCAGCTATTGTTCTCAGCCCATGCTCGAGCGAGCACAGTGAAAGAAGGCAGACCCTGGCTGTTGTACATGTATATATGGTGATCGGCCTTTGTGTGTAGCCCAGAAATGAAAAGACCCGAATTTGCATCATAATCACCAGCTTCACAATAGTCCTCACTTTGAAAAGAGGCAATGGGAATGTGGAAGCTTGAGCAGAGCCGCATGCCACTGAACAATTAGCCTTTTCACCGTATAATTCAACGCGTGCAGAGCACACTGGGCCAAAAACCGAGAATTTGCAGTTTGGCAGGTGGCCTTCGTGGCCAAGCGAGGCTGGAATTCTTGGAGTCGGCTTTCGGAATGAAATTCCCGTCGAGAAGGGGTTAAGATACACCAGTAAACGATTGCTAGTGAAGTCCAAAAAACACAACCAATGTTCATTTTCAAGCATGCATAAAAAATAAAAGGCTAGCATAAAGGAGTCAGGACGCATGACATTTGCAACATGAATAACTGAAGGAGCATCCACAGGAGCTCACTCCAAGAAAAAAAAATTGTTGTACATGATCAACTTGATTGGAAGAAAGTGCTAAAAATTTCCGCTCAGATCTCTGCAGACAAAAAAACCACTTTGATATCCAAAATCATGCGAAGAATCAACAACTAAAAGCATTTATTTCAGAAACAGGCAGGGCCTGACAGAATACCCCTCTTTGTTTCAATCACGCTGGGTGTTATCTGAAGAGAAGGCCCAGGAAGCCATCACAACAAAATAGTTGGCTCACAGCGGGCCTACTTTTGACGGACCTCGTAACAGTTACCATAAGCAGATTTTGGACACACCCACTTTTAAACATGCGCTGGGACAGTGTTTAGTATGGCAAGGCTGCACAGCAGAATCTGTGGTCAGGGGGTGGCACGTACATGTACATGTAAGTTGGGGCCATAGAAGGGTCATTGTGCAGATCACAAGGTTGTATGTGGTGAGGCCCCAGTGGAAACAGATTCGCAAAATTTTTTGCGGAGGGCCCTTGGGGAACCTCCAGATTACAGGGTGCCAAGGGGTGTGTAAAAACACCAACTGCTAGAAGATTGTTAAGTTCGGATGCCTCAGGATGCGGACTGGGGAGAGGCATTGGTAGGTCTGCATCATGATGGCGAATTCACCGGGGCAGAGCTGAAAAAGATAGGAAGATTGCCTGGGAACTCTATTTGCTCATTCCTGTCTAAGTGCCTGGTGACATGGTTTAGGTTTAGGCCTGTAGTGGTCATTAGAGATAGACTCACAAGTAGCCTGGACGGGCCTATCGATGGCAGCGAGAGCCGCCCCAGAAGGCTGTGACGGAGACTCCGGATTGGGTCCACGTACTGATCGCGAATTCCCTTGGGCAGGTATCTAAGAAGCTGGCCTGGAAAGTGCTGCCGTCTCGATTACATCTGGATGCCCACGCCGTAAATATGTCAGAAGCTAAGTGGCATCTGCGTGTAACGGCCACCTGGATAAGTGGGGCTGTGGCTTATGTTCATCTGAGAAGGAAGCCTGGTGGATTATCCCAATATATGTATACTCGATGACAGATAAGATGAGCACTGATAATACAAGGTCATATTTACAACCAGGAAATTTGTTTTTATTTATTTTTATTATTTTTATTTTTTGTTTTGTAAGTTCCAAGCACCTTGTTATAATAGTGTTCCACTTTAGTTGCTTCAGAAATGTTCTTCCAGAAGGCACTAGATAATGGAAAGACTGATGGCAGGCCAAGCACTTGAATCACGTCTCGCTGAAGAAGACGGAGGCGGCCATCAGATGGAGTACGGGTGCTGATGGAATCAACTTCGTCCTCCTTGGACGACAATGCTGCTTGCCCAGTCAGGGACAGGGCATTGCGTTGTTCACAGCCATGTGCAGTCCCATTGGGAATGGCCTGCTCCAGTGGGAGAACGTCCGGCTGGTGTGATTCTGGTGTGGAATCCTGTCCGGTGTCATCATGGCTCACGGCCAGAGAGAGCAGAAGGGGCTGGTCTGCCAGAAACAGGTCCAAGGTGGTGGAGGCCGGTGGCTGTCTAATGCCGAGGCGACAAGCAATGGTGGTCAGAACTTCACTGATAGACAGTGACATTCAAGCCGCAGAGGTACATGTATGTCTGTGATGGTCAAAGCAGTGCTTCTTGGTTTTTGTGGAATTTGATGAAGAAGAGCACTTGTGCTTGCCTGGCAGCAGAGGTGGCGGAGGTGGCAGACGGGACCCCGAGAGGCAGAACACCTGGGATGCATTCCTGGTTGAGGTCAACGGAAACTGCAGAATTCTGGGCAGAGGGACCAGGAGAATGAGGTCCGACGACCGGGTGATGCCAAGTTGAAAGCCAGAGCCAGATGAATTAGTGGGTGCCGGGGTGTCATGGCTCCACGGCGCGCGCACCAGGTGGGGCAGGCCCCATCAATTGCAGGGAGCCCAGCCCAGTGACTTTGGTATTGGGGTGAGAGGGAGTACATACAAGGGCTGTTGGAGAAATTTTCTTCTTGGCCGATGTCAAACAAAAGATTGTACTTATCGGCATCACTAGGGAAACGCTGGCTGGAATGCCACGTGGATTCCTCTAGGCCATGTCGCACTAAGGGCATGGCGTACTTCACAATGATGGTAGCTGACAGGCCCAGGAGACGTCTGATGGGGTACTCTCTCTGGAGTCCAAGTTGGCTCACCAGGTCTACAATTGAGCAAGCAGACAGGGTCCTTGCCAGATTCTGGCGGTTTACCTGCTCGGGTCTTCCACAGTCGACTACGGAGCTTCCCCGTCAGCTCCATGGGGCCGAACGAACCAGAGGCCTGGCCAGATCCTGGCTGGGACCCCCTGGACAACAGCAAGACCTTTTCCTCATCCTGGTAGCCAGAGAAGACAAGGGAATAAGACAAACCCTGACAGCCACCCCCTGAATTCAACCAGCTAAGAAAATTAAAATATTTACAAGGAAAACAAGAGCTATTTCACCAAAATGCCAAAACAGCGAAAAATTTCATGCAGATCTCTTACTTCTCCGTGTGATAAGTTTGCAGAGTAAAGTTGCTACGTGTATTGCAAAGCTTACCTTGAAGTCTTCTGCTAGGTAGAAGCTGACTTTAACTAAAAGAAAAAACAGAAAAAGATATTGAAAGTTGACCTTACTGCAAAGTGCTCAGCACTGTCTGATGTATAGATGCACTACACATGTACACATGTACACCACATGCAAATGCAGAGAAAGTCTACAGTGCATGCATGTTCATGGGCTGCCATCTTTAAGTTTCTACTGTTTAGAGAGGCAAGGCAAGCACAAGGGAGAATAAGACAAACCTTTTGTTTGTCAGTAGACAAACACTGAGCTGTTTCAGGAAACTCTTGTGGTTGGATAAAAAGGAAGTTGGAACGGGCGGGAATCGAGCAGCTGTTGTTAAGTCCGCTGTTCAAAATTTCTCTGCGACCAATACCCTCCTTGCTATAGTAGAGCACTTGCTTTCCCTGCCAGCTGTTCGGTGTTTTGCCAGATTCCCCCAAAAAGAGGGCCTCCATTACATGCTTTACATGCACAAAGCATATGGCTCTTACTGCTACGGCTTTCAACCCAATAAGACATGCACTTCAAGAGATAGAGCGCTTGGAAAAGTGCACTTTTAATGTCACGTAACATAATCATCTAATGACGCCATCATCACTTGAGGTCAATTTTGTCAATAACACTTTCCTTTCTAAATATCTACAAAGTTTCAACCCAATCAGACATGTACTTCAGGAGATACGGTACATGTGCTTTTGTCTGCTGATAACATTGTCATCACATGAGGTAATTCTCCATTTATAAACCTTCCCTTCCTAACTATCTGCAAGGTTTCAAACCCAATCAGACATGTTCAATACAAACACAATACAAAACATTATTGTTATCGCGGAAAGAGCACAGAATTTCAACATTTGTCCCTTTTGGCATTCCATACAATGCAATCTGCTCTCAGCGCCACATGCTTGGCAATTTGCCAGCTCCTGAGTATTGTTCCCTGCGCATTGTGTGCTGCCAATGTTACAGGCAGATATTGGACATCCATGCACACAGTAGCCAGTGCACTGTATGCAAATGGGATTTCAAGTTCAAAATTTTATAAGGGGAGTTTTGTTGTCAGCGCTTCATCTGTGTGAAGAAGTACACCAGTTAATAAGCAATTCATGCAGTTGACTTCAATGTTTCAGCTTTCATCTAATGGACAATTCACTCTTAAATCTTTTACATTTGACGTTTTGTCAAATTCTGAAGAATAAAAGGACTTTTTATTTTAACTTCCGGTATGATGACATCATCAGATCCAAATTTCACACGTCTTAACAGGGTAAAGATCATCATCCACCTCAAATTTCAGCCAATTTTGACAAACTTAACCACAGACATCTATTCAAAATTCATTTTTCACAATTTTTAACCTGTGGCTAGAAGGCGCTAGACAATTACGTGATGTGACGGCCAGTGATCGAAACAACTAACATGGGCTTTTAAGTGCTAACACTTTATGTACACGACAAACTGTGGAGACAAACCTTAAAGGGTTCAGTAAGGCTAAGAACTGAATGTACAGTGGATATAGGAAGATTACATGTACATGGAGACATGGCCTTGGAAATTATCAATTCTAACTCACCACCAGGCACATCCCATGTCTGGAACAGAGTCTTTAGAATGATATGTGCCACCTCATCCACCAGAAAGTGGAAATGCAATGGGTTCTTCCGGTAGAAAAGGACGGATTTGATTAGGTTGGTCACTTCCCGGCTGGCATTGTGACCCGCACAGACCACAGCTACGTGAATGATCTCACACTTGGGCACAGCTGGCTGTTGGTTTTGGCAGGGACTGCCACTGGTTGATTGGTTGCTGCTGGTGCCTGTGTCATCACTGCCATTCACTTTGACATTCTGGTAGGTCTCGTAGGTCTGCTGCAGTTGAGCTTGTGAGATGCTGTCAGGCAAATGTACCAAAAGGACAGTCATTATTTTCATTACTCTAAGTCTAATATTGGCAAAACTCAACATTAATTTTAATTGTCAAACAATAATATACAAGTGTATAAACAAAGGTAGATGTACATGTACATACATGTACATGTACACCTCTATTTACACTGTAATAGATGTGGCCAAGCACAATCTTTTTGGTATCACAGCACCATTGAGGAGGCCCCCCATTGAGGAAATTACCAGTAAATGGCCACTATGAGATTATGAAGATGCAAGGGCATTAACCACTTAGCGCCGGGGCATTTATGAATGTTGATGATGCTGGGACAGGATAATTTCCCTTTTTGGGGGGTTTTCAAAATTCTTTAAAAATTCATCTCTTCATTTACTGGACACTTACATGTACACCCACACTAAGGACTGTCTGGTTCCTACTCTAATCTGACAGGCAACATCTATTGAGGCTGGAGTACACGTATTTCAGCCAGGCCTACTGCCTTGTAAAATGAGCCCAGATTGTGCGGCGTTACATAATTTTCTTTTGTTCACAAAATTGGCACAGTACGCTGCTGACCTTTTTTTCAATAGGGGCCAGATTAGCATGCATGGATTATTGCTGCCGTTGTGGAACACTTTTGTCCCCGGTGGTAATCTGCTTGCACTAAATCCCCCAAACCGTGATACACTGTTTAAAATCAAGGCTGGATTATCTCCACTATTGAGACATGTAGGTAATGCCCAGCAGCCTGGTCTTTTGTTACGAGTACGGTCTTTTGTTACAAAGCCCAGTTCCCTTGTCTGATTTCAGAGACCCCGGCCACACACATGAAGAATACGGTTCCGGTACCGGAAACCCCGGCAGCAAGTGGTTAATCCCAGTGGGGATGGGAAGTACATTTACATGTACATATCTCCCACTTTTTGACCTTTGATTGGCTACTGAATCTTTTCCCCCCCTTGGTAAGACAAAAAATTAAGGCAGATTGTAAAGAATTTTTCGGACTTTCCAACAATCAAATTGTATTCAATAACACTCAAAAAAGATAATTTAATGCTGTTTTGATGTAAGGTTTTGCAGGTGTTATATACATGTATACATGCATAATACAGATGTGCATCAGTAACATGAACACTGTCCCCTAGTGTCATATACATGTACAGTATAATGTCAGCACCACAACCCCCTTCCCTCCATTTCACATTTCAATGGCTGAAAAAGTCATTCCTTCACAATTCGCGGAGTGTTGTAAAAACATAAGTGATTGTTCATGTAAATGAATAAAGTGATAAATCCAGGATATTTCATGACAATTTGACACAGCTTGAAGGTTTTTTAAACCATTTTTTTGTAATTTGTTTAGTGCTGTCATGGTGCATGGTCATGACACCACGCCGCATAGTATTTGGACATTTTTGTTGTCTTCATTTCCATCTGTTCTCTGCTCTAATCAACCCAAAATATATCACATTTATATTTTGAATTTGAAATGTCCTATTTTTAGAGAGAAAAACAAATGTAATGAGATAAAATGCAGCAAATAACATTTTGATTATCGCGGTGTTCCGATATTTCCTGGATTGCGGAAAGTAAACAAACTTTGAAGATGGCAGTGCTCACATGAAAAAAAAATTTACCGGCAACGGTGCTTGTGAACTTTGCTACGCGTAGATGCCAACTTTCTTTATAACTTTTTGCAGCAACTGAAAGTGTGATACATGTATATAGAAGTGATATTTCATGTCAATCATTTGAAACTGAATGATTGTGATTGTTTGTAATTTTTGGATTAGTACTATCAACATGATCAATACTCAAATACACATGAAAACTAGCAATGAACATGTATTTTTTTCTATACAACTTCCAATTCCGTAGGTCAGAAGTCACTGAGGTCAATAAAAGGTCACAGAATTGTAGCCCATCATCTGTTATACAAAGTGTAAAAATATTAAGTACAAATATGGAGAGGTTAATTTTTAATGATTTTTCACACAAACAATTTATTGAGGTTTTCCTAAACATACAGTATGTGGACAATTGAGAGCAACTGTGTGAAAAAAATATGGGAGTGGAAGGGTTAAATCATGCAATGGTGACGTCATACAACACTCTAGCGCCCTCTACCAACAGGCTTGAAAAATGTAACAAATCTATTCTGAAGAAATGTCTGTGGTGAAGTTTGCTGGAATAGGTTGAAAATTGGTAGATACAGTGACCTTTATGCCTGCAACATATGTGCAAAAATTTGGGCTGATGAAAACATCAGACCAGAAGTTATAATGAAAAAAACCTTTAATTCATTCAAAGTCACCAAAAAAATTAATCCCAACAGCTCCAGTCTGAAGATACTGTCAAAAGCTAGAATGACTATCTATATACATGTATCCATTGTCTAAAATGTTTGGCTTCTTGCAATGTTCACACACCCTGTGCACGGCTAATGAAAAAACCTGCCATCTGATGAAAATGTCAGCAACTCGATCCATAGGGGTAAGAGCCGTAGTGGTAAGAGCCATAGGCTTTGTACACGCAAAGGGTATGATACAGCCACACTGTTTCAGGGCAGTGAAAGGTATCACCTTTTGGGTAACTACTGTAGTGCTGTATCAAGGAGGGCAGCAGTCCCACAGACCTGAATTTGATTTCGGCCAGTTACATGCCAGTAAAACCACTGTATCTTCTGAAGTGCGTGTCAGGCCATGCATGTGCTGTGTGTTAGTACATTTTGAAGTGCAGGCTCTGTTTGATACCTGCCCATTCTTACCTCTTTTTTATCAAACTGAAAGAGCTCAGTAGACAAATGCAACGTTTGTCTCATTTTCTCTTTGCTATGCTGGACGGCCATGTTGCTTTGCAGAGTGATTGATAATCAAACAGTGGGTGGGCCGTGAGGGTGAACCACGCCATTCATCGAGCACACCGGCATAAAGAATGCTGCACAGCGGTATTGTCTGTACCAATACGGCCAGATTTCATGAGTACATGTACACAGCTGTATTGTATAGCTCATCGGGGTGGAGTGCTGGGGTGCTTTTGTTCCCACTGATAATCCACTTGCGCTTGCATGGCAAACAATGGTAATGTTTCAGAACAATTATGGATTACCTCCGCTAATGCCAGCACTCTGCGCTGACAGCATATGAACCTTGATTGGCAAGTCACAGCAGCTCAGTCTTTTGTTACCAAAAGTTTCAATTTCGGGCACCCCAGCCATGAAACACCACACTGTGTTTCAGGTACCGGGCACGCCGGGGGCAAATGGTTATAGTACTACATGTACATGTAATAAAACAATTGGAACTGTGTGTATGTACCAGAACATACATGTAGGAAGGAGGAAGCAAATCTGTGTGACACTACAAAATTGTAAGGATTTTGTTGGTACATGAACATGTATTTCTTTATTGGTGCATGTGTACATGTATACACATAATTTTACATGTATTTCTCAATCTCTTTCACAATCCATTATTTTCTATTTTATCAGAACAAGATAATACCTTCCAATGGGAGGTGGGAAAATTCAATACTAACATGAATCAAAGCAGCAAATTACAATGTATTCTCCACAGAGGTGAAGAAGGGTGTAAGGGGAATGTACCTGAGTTGTTTTCTGAGCATCTGGTTCTCTCGTTCCATCTCCAGGAATTTGTCCGCCATCGTCTCTTTCTTCTTGAAATCCAACACCTCCTCCTTTGACTCACTCCAACCTGAATGGGAACAGCAAATGTACCAGAAATGATCCACCATATGCATGGACATACACTGTACTGTGGCGGTATTTCAGTACCTACGGTTTAAGGCAGACAGTCTTTGGGTCATCGGTCACCAATACACATGTATATACTGGTACATGTATAAGATGTACACATCCTGGTATACATGTATGTGNTAAGTGAAAAGAGTCCCCTCTACACATGTCCACAGCGGACACAGTAAAATTTATGTTGCCCAATGAACACAAACTGACAGCAGAACAAACAGTGCAAACATTTATGCAAACACAGCCCAAGAGGGCGCTATGCATGAGTAGCGCCCTCTTTCAGATTTTGCTCCTGTTTTTGATCATTTCGGTGAATTCTCAGGTTTAAATCTTTTCAACCTAGTTTTCTGTATTAGGAGATTACGTTCAAAAATGTTTGATATTGTTTTTAGGAATTTGGACCCTTCATTGTCCCGATATCTACTGATGTCTGGGTCAAATATGGTTTTAAACCACTGTGCACAGAAAACATTTACAGAAATGCTGGACTACTACTTGCAATTTGGCTACACCCGAAGGTCCAGTAGTGCCCTGTCGATACTTACAGACATTTTATAGCAACTGACGGCAGTTTACTGCCAAGACAAGGAATGTTTGCAATTGTGAATAAACCTTTTTCAAAGAATTTTAAACCACATTTATGAACCTTTCAAACTAAACTACATGTACATGTGTTTACACAACTGTTTGCTTCTCCATTTTCAATGTTGTCTCAACTCGGCCTTGGAAAATTTATCAGTAAATATACTATAAATATCTGAAGCATATATCCTTTTTCATTCCAACAGAGAGCAAAGTTAAAGTACGCTAAACAAATCCGCAACGGCGATGCAACCCCCAACTTCCCCGGGTGTTTCTGTAAAGACAGTTGACAATACATACAGGGAGTGAGAAAATTTTCTAAACCCTAAAGTGGCAACCCCTATTCAGAAGCCATCATTGGATTTGTTGCTCATTAATCCTCAACAAGTAGTCAACTAATCTTTCCTTGATTTGTGTTGCGATGTGTTATGAACCCAGCTTGTAAGGGGGACATGGAAGCCGGACAATAGGTTGGACATGCACATGGCCCACCCAAAAAGGTTTCAAACTAAGTGGGGCTTTATCTATCTAAACAATAGGTATTCCCAAATCAAATTTCCCAATTCAGGAATTTCACACTCGACACAGACATGGTTAAAAGAAAACTCTTACGCTTCCCAAGTGCCCAATGACCATCGCCCCCGAGAGCAACGACAGAAAACATGACCAAAATGACTGACTTATAGTATTGCTACTTGCAACGTAATCTTTTTTGACCAGCAGCATCATAACTATACATGTACTTGTGTGGCTTTACTTGCAAAGGACTCTAACAGGGAACTGGATTGAAAAATTTAATGTTAAACCTTCTTTTGCCATTTATCATTAGCGCCCTGAAATGTTCATATTAGACTCGATAAACTGCACGGTTGTAATTTGAATTTTCCATGTACACAACAGCCTTGCTTACAGAGCCATAAACATGAAAGCTTCGAACTAGCAGACGATTATGTACCTCTCCATTTTCAAGTTAGTCTACCCAGTCTTGAAAATATAATAGTAAACATTTTTAATCTAATGCATATACCTTTTAATTCATACCAAAAGAAATCAAGTTTAAAGCAAAAACGCAAGTATTAGAATTCAGTGTTGGAACCCAACACCTCCCCCATGGCGTTTCTAAAAAAGACAATAGCATTCATGCAGTAAGTGAGTGTGTTTTCTAAACCCAGTAGATAATCAATGAATCTATTGATCCCATTGAATTCACGGGGGCGGAATCCTCGACAAGTGCTAATCCGCTTCTTGATTTGTGCAGTGATGTGTTAAGAACCCAGTTTGTGGAAGCTAGACAAAAGGTTGGACATGCACATGGGACATCATAAGAGGTTCTACAGTGTACATGTAAGTTAGTGGGGGTTAAAGAATACACACTGTAGGTATATCCAACTCGAACTTCCCAAATTAGGAATTGCACTCAAAAACTAAGCTTTTCTGAGGACAAACATTTTGCCTAAAGCAGTAAGAATTTTCTAAGTCATGAAATTTACATGTACATGTACCGAACCTCTCACTGCAACATTGGAGTTTCCAAGCAGAGACATTGCCATACGGCCATTTTGCCTTTGATACTAGGGTTGTTTTTAAGTTATCACGAAGGATTCCAATTTATTACGAGGAACGTACTGTAGGCCAGCACTTGTCAAACTGTAGATCATGGTTCAGTAGAGACAACACTTAATTTATAAGCCAGTTTCTCCGAGAGAAATAGACACTTATCCTAAAAGAGACAGAATCATTCCCTGAACACCTTGACAACACCAAGTTTTGAGTCTTTCATGGCTCACAGACTGGGGGAACGTTGTCCCACCTACATGTACAAACTCAATCGAGCTTTGCCAAATTTTATTGTAACATCATCTCAGCTATTACACAAAAAACAAACTATTAGGGCATTTGAATAAATCAAATTGTAGTATTCACCGAAAGATTTCGATCGATACGTATGACATGTCCGGACAACCAAACTGTACGTCCGTGTCTTATTTTCTGTGACATGTTCTGTGTGGCAGGTTCAAAGATTCATTCTAATTGGTTTTACCTTGCATAAACAATAATTTTCTTATGGTCTTTGTTTATAATGAATGTTTCACAGTTTTTTTTCTGTCTGAACGTTGGACGCTGAGTGACTGAATGGTAAACCCCGGTTGTGACCCCCCCCCATCCGTCTCGGACCTGTTTTTATTTAGCCTAAATGTGTTTGGATATCAGTTTCGCTGTGCTGAATCCCACTGTGTAAATCTTCTGAAGTTTTAAAGAAGTTAAATTTCAGGCATTCATTTTCACAAAAACTCGCACACACTACGATTTAGAGATACAATAAATTTGATCCTCGGTTTAGGGCAAGTCCGGAAAAAATGTACTCCCCTAAAGTCATAAAAAAATCTTTTATAGATGTGTTGGCTCTAAAAAGAGCTGTTTGGTTTGAATGTGTGAGTGCTAAAACCCAGATGCACATCCTTTCCTCTCTACTACTGCAGGCATAACCTTATGCAGGTGGTCTATGTACCTCATACACAGTTCTGGGGTTGGCGTCGTCTGCCAGAATTCCAGGATGCCTGTCTTGAACTGTTCAGCATTCTTGGGCTTTACTCGCCTCTGGAGGTGGTGTTTCAGTTGATGCCAGAGGTTCTCGATGAGGTTGAGGTCTGGAGACTCAGCGGGAGTTTTGAATCAATCCAATCCCCTTTTCCCTCATGAAGCCAGTTGTAGCTCTACTTGTATGTTTGGGATCATTATCCCAGTGGAATCTGTATCCATCAGGGAAGACAGACTCAACGAATGGCAAAAGAGTGTTTTTCAGGATTCCTTCTTGATAGAATGTGCTGTCCATGATTTTCTCAAATAAGAGCACTTCAGTGACCCCTCGTTTTGAAATTCCCCCCAAACATGAACCTCATAGGGATGCTTTGCCTTTGGTTTTAGTGGTTGGCCTTTTTTTCTGAATGTAAGTTTACTATGGGCCTCCATCTGGATTGAACATTCATCAGTAAAAATGACGTCATCAAAAGTATCGTTTCGGGCGGCTCGGCAAAACTCGAGTCTTGCTTGTCTATTCGGAATGCGAATCATTTGGCAATATTGTGTCCTCATTTTCACCCATTGTAGTTTTTTCCTCACCCGCTTTACTGTGGAAAGAGAGACCTCAACCCTTCGTTGCTCAGGGCTCGCTGAATGTCTTTGGCAGTTAGCTCGTTGTCGTTCTCATAGAGGGTATCTGTAAGATCAAGATGCTGTTGTTGGAGTTTGGAGCGTTCTCCCAGCCTTGGCTTGTCAGTGAGCCCTCCATGCTCCTTGTACCGCTGAAGAAAGCACCCAACTGTTCTTGTCTCCGTCTTGAAACCACTCCCGTCAAAAAGTTTTCAGCGAATGGCCGCTGGAGAATGCCCATCTTTATCCAGACAGACAATCTGATGTTTTCTGACTAGAGGCAATCTACGTCTTGACATGATGCTGACGATCAATGTGCTATAATTGATACAGCTACATGTAGCTAGTTACATGTACCGGTATGCTCTTATACGTTTAGGTAACCGATGTCCTCCTACACATGTGTAACTTACAAGTAAGCCTTAAGACATCGCAAAGCATGTACAAAATGTACATGCCACGTACATGTACATCCCCACCACTCACCTCGTTTGTGCGCATGCCCACTGGATGGACCAATGACAGTAGGATTGCAAAAAAATAAAAACACACAACAAGATCTTTAAATACATGTATATACATGTACATATACATGAAATTGGAAATTTTTGAAGTTGAATTACGTTATGCTAGATAACTGAAAATAGACACAGATTTGGATCTTTAAATGTTATCAGGTTGTCACTTTAAGCCGCAGCGAAAGGACCATCTATGTAATGTACTTCGTTTTCTCGCAGGTCCGCTGTTCCTTGTTAGCCTTTCCATATCACTGTCGCTATTTTGAGCGGTGAGAACCAGGGTACCATGCATGTTTGGACCATGTTTGGACTATGGCCTGCCACACGTGATGCCCATCGTACGCGTACCTCATGCATACTGGCGGTGGAAGGTGGCTCACATTTTGAAAAAATGAAGAGTGAAAATGTACTGTTTATTCAACTCCGTGTACGTTCGTCTACAAGTGTTTCAAAAAATTTGATGATCTCTTTTAAACATTTTGACATGTAGAGCAAATTTCCCCTTTGCGTCTATAAAAAAAAAATTCTTATAACAGAAATCAATAATACAAATTTTATTTAAACAGAGACAAGAAATCCAAAATTTACATTAAACTGGAAGACTCGGCCAGAAAATCGAATTAAATTTGAAGCAGGTGATCAAAAACAACAATGAGTTTTCGGAAATCTCTTTTGCCGAGGAAAAGGGAAAAGCAAACGGGAATGACCACTGACGGTTCGTAACCAATATGACGGAGAGCTGAACAAACGATCACATGCAAGTGTTATGTCTGCATACCTTTAGTAAAAGGAAGAAATATTTCCTGAATATTGGAATGGGAAACATAAACTACAAGTCTTATCATAATATCGGTCCACCCGGCATGCACCAAGTCCTTAACCCTATTTCTTATATTCGGAAGTGAGTTTCTGGCACGGCGTTATCACGTCCTTCAAGTCAGGCATTTTATTTTCAATTTATATCAGTCAAAATGGCAAATATATTTTACAAGGGTCCTTTTCGAAATGATTCTTTCAGAAAGTGAAATACACACCTGTAATGTCAATTGCAGGTCACGTTTTTGCTGTGCCAAAGACAACGTCAAGAAGCCATGGCCCAATTTGTGATCGGTCACAATCGGACACACTGATCTCACTCATTCTACGCGGGTGCCTGTTCCCCGCACGTTCCTCGCTCGTTATACTTGACAGTGGGGTGCTTCCATCCCTCGTGGAATCATCCCCTTGTCTCGCCTCGTTTAATGCTCGCTCGTTCCTCGGACACTCGCGAGTTTTTTCCGAGGGCTCGCGCTCAGTCCTCGAGATTGAATTGAGGCAACTCGCGAGTGAAAGGAATTACCAGTGGGCGCAACTGTATACCCCACGCCGCACAGGTGTGTACACTTTCAACTTTCAACCATCGTTGCAGCGAACGTACCTGTAACCGTATCCGAACGATGTGCTGCGGCTGCGGCCGCACGAACAAACGTGCAGCCGCAGCAAATCATTCAGATATCGCCGCCGCGAATAGCCCAGAGAGGTATTACCCTATGCTCAATTGTGAGACCCCCTATCCCTAGTCTGTTCTCCAGTCGTGTTAGCACTCCTGACTGCATGGCCCGAGCAGTCAGAATGTTCGACTCGAGTCAGAATGTTGAAGAATGCAATGCTACATGTATTTTAGAAAACGGCCACAAGCAGGTTTACAACTAGGCCTAAGCATTAAGTTACGATGTGTTGTACACCATGCACTGTGGTAAGTTTTTCCAGCCAAGTGCATGTACGTGCACGGTGTGCACGTAGAGGCAGAGGTTTTACGTGCACAGAAAAAAAAGTACATGCAAGTGTGCTTGCGTGCACCCGTCTAAACTGACCACTGATGTAGACCTACAGTCAGGGATTGAGGTTTTTTGGGGGGGAGAGTGGATCACAGGGCCAGTAACTACATTTTGTAAATTTAGTCGGCCAGAACACATTACAAGACTGATAAAGCAAAAAAATGTACACCCATACAGTACTTGCTTTGCAGTTTTAGTGACAAACACACACATTATTTCACCTACACGTACACATATACATGTACATGTACATGGTTCCCAAAAACATTATGGAAACAGGCAAAAGTATGTGTACATGTACTGTATTGCTGGCTGTAAGTACAAAACCAAAAGAACAATTCATAAAGTGTAAAAATGTTATGCAATAACAAATACATGTACTTAGAGCTCTGCTAAATAGAAATATCTCTGAATTTAAAACTGATGATGCAAAACGTCAATTTTGTGAGGCAGAAATTGTTGTCAATCATGCTGGTACACGTAGAATCAAAATATCGTAAAAAATCTCACCATCTTGACTTCGCAGAAAATACTTCACAATAACCACTGCTACAACAAACAGCATCACAGCAACACCGAGCGATTTCTTGTTCACACGCACCACGTTCATGTTATGACAGTGAGTGTCTCCATGTGTCAAAAGTATCCAACAAGCTACCCCGACAAGTCCACACAACTGTAATACACGCTTTTCAATCTACTCCATCATCAGCATTCTACAAGCTTGGTATTCCAGTAACATACGTTTCTGGTACGGTGCACATTCAGCATGCAAAGAGCTGAAGGGGCTGAAGAAAAAATTCAAGTTGTGGCATCAGGCCATGTCCAGTGTGCATAATCCAGCCTGTGTGATAACACTGGACACAGAAATCTGAAACAAAACAAACAAGAACGGGAATTACCATACATTTGTAAAGACTGAGAAACTGCAAAAACATGAACCTACATGTACATGGAGCTTTAAGGCCAGTCCATGCTGTTTGCACAAAAGAGAACATGAACACGATATTGTGACATCAGATTAAATATACCGATAATGTACATGTACATTCCGCTACACACAACGTATTTGTGTTGCAAATCCAGTACAATTCACAAAAATTGCACACATTTTATAGTGTTTCAGAGTACCACTGATTAAATCTACCTAATAAATGTATGAAAGTTTGTTACATGTAAGTTACCGGTACATGTAAGTTTGTACACACAGTGGTTCTTCTGTCATGAAGATGACTCAGACAGTGTACACGTAGTTACATGTACATGTAAATATATAGCATGTTTCATAGGCAATACATGTACATGTATGTTGACTTCCTGGAAAAATGTGACAACCCCATTTGGGCAATTCTACGCAAAGGTGGACATGAGGGTGAAAATTTAAAATTCATAACAATCAAACAAATTTGGTCTCAAATGAATGCTGAAGGTCTATACTCTACTGTTTTAATGTCGGAATGTAATTTGTTCATTATTTGGTTGTTCAAATCAATGACTACTGTACATGTATATAATATGTAAACAGCATATTTTTTCCAAAAAAATGAGGAAAAATGATAGGACAATTAATTGCACCTAGTGTCTAATAAAAATGGAAGATTGGCTGTATCTGCAGTTACATTAACTGTTTCGATTGTTTAAAGGATATCTGTTATGTGTTTTTGACCTTTGGGGCATTGGTTATGTTTCAGTGGTTTCAAACATTTTGGCTCACTAGAATGTCCTTTAATACTGCAAAAGTACATGTTTTTAGTATATTTTCAAAACTTAAAGGAAAAAATACTGGTAATAAAAAAGACCAATGCAATGCAAGTTTAGGTAGACCTACATGTACATGTACAACATTATAACATTAAAGTCATTTTTTGCTCCGCAACTCTTTTAATTATAGCTAATAAATACTTGTCCTTCCGTTATTTTAACGGAAGGACAAAAATTGGCAACGGAAGGACCAAAAAGGCCTGATGTTTTGACATCAGATCACAAGTAAAAGTGTAAATAGGCTTTTCAGAGTTATTCTGAAGAGTTGCCTGCTTGTATTTATTGTCATGCTAATTAGACCCTTTTCATTGCAATACTCCATCACAGGTACCAGTAAATGAGTGAGTCGTTTTAAACATGCTCACTCTGTCATGTGTTGTTACTTATGTTAACTACAGCATTCAGTGTGTCCAAAACTACAACTTGACTGGAGCAGTAAAAGAAATAATCTCCATTCAACCAAATGGTGTACACTTACTTACGAAAATATTAAATTAAAAACAAAAACCCCAAAATAAGAGACTTAGGAACATTTGTTAAGTTTAAAATGTGCTTGGCTTATTTGGTCAGTGTACAGCCTATATACATGTAACTGTGCAGGTAATGGAATTTTAAGCAAATATTTTACAAGCTGACCGGTCTAACATACATGTACATACATGCACATATAGAACAGTACATGTACAGAATGTGACCCATTAGATTCATGGAGAATCAATTGTATCATAACTTCCTGGCATCCCACGTATGTGATGTGTTGTATTGAATTCATGTTTTAGACAAATTTTATAACAGGTAAAATTCATTTTTAAATCAATCTGAAACATAATAACAACATGAGTAGTCATTCTTTTACATTTGTATTTATTACTACATGTACGTGTAGGTGATAATTAGTCATTTGCTAAACTAATGTTTAATTGATTAATTGGTTGCTAATTGGGATAGTTTGAACTTAGTAAGATTAGTTTTATGTCACGTTATATTGCACTACTAGTTAGATTTTTATTAGATTGCACTTTCCAACAAAACTTACTCTCACTGTGTGCATGTATTAGATTGAGCATTTCATAAGTCTCTAGTTTCTGGTCAGGGGCTGGCTCCAAAAGTGTTGCGGCGATTCATCTTTTTTAAATTTTTACCCTCGCTTCTTTTTTTCCTAGAAATGTACACGTACGTACATACCGGCACTACCAGCACTGAAAAAGACTAGCTCCCTTACAGGCAATAATACACTGTTCTCAATGGATAAGATGGGCACAAAGGAACCAGTCCATCATGTCCATTCCACAGATGGTGGTCACTGTGCAAAAGATTGCCCCAAATCATGGGGTATACATGTGGCAACAGTGTCTTTAGACTGGGGAATTAAAATTGTTATGGTTTCTGTGCAATCAAATAACTCAGTATACCAGATTCTATTCAAATTTAACTCGTACATGTATATGGCTCATTACAGGTAGATGTAGTATGACCACTAGCTGGCAGCACCTTATGATCACCGTCATACATGTTGTTTTTTAATGGCGCTTTCAGCAACTCAGGCTATTTGTGCCAATAACTGTACGTTTATTCATACACTTTATTAATCAGCATCACATTACGGAGTTAGGAAGAAGGTCCAGTGTTAGAGGCAGGAGGAAACCAGAGTACCCGGAGAAAACCTGCGAGAGCGAGTATAGACTGGAAACCAAATGCACTTAAAGCCTGGGCCAAGCCGGGACTCGAACCCGGGCCTCATTGGTGCAAAACGAGGAAAGAACCGCTACACTAACCCGCTCCCCCCCATCATACATGTACATGTACGTATGAGGTGTTTAGAGGAGCAGCAAACCCATTAACTTCATGGTTCCTTTTTAATTGCACTTATAGTGTACTCTTTGGCACTGATGTGTTTCCTTCGCATTAACCTCCACAATTCAATAGACTTTATTGGGTAATGTGAGAACAAGTATTTGAGAATTTGTCTCAAAATTTTACTACAATATCAACTCCAGTTATAATGGAAAACATTTCAAAACAAGTGCTTTCCTTCTACCAACAGAAATAATGCCTTAAAAAAAATTTCCAATACATTGAAGTACTAGCCCTAACAGTCCCAAATCCTCCAATTTTAGGATGTATTTATTGAAAGGCGAGTTCTGGTGCTCGACATTGAAAAAAGCACATTTTACAAAGCTTCAATCTTGTTTTTCTGGTAGTCATTTCCAATTCATTTGAATGATTTTCTTTAATCAGAAACAGATATAATGAATTTTAATAAAAATGGTGTTTTTACCATTCATAACATGGATTTTCTGGTCTGTCAATATTTAACACTCTAGAATGATAAACTACAAGTCAAGTCCCCTAATGGGCGATTCTCGTGTTACATGTGTGGCATTTGGAAGCAGTTTTGACAATTTTGATGCATATCACCAGTATACTAAATAATAATTTTGTTTCTGAATACTTTTGTATGTTCATGTGTGTGACATGGTATTTACCTACATGTATAGGGGACACGTACATGTACTGTGATTAAACATTTGTTTCAAATTTCTCTTCATGTTTCATTTTGGTAAAATAAATATCTTTGTCATGTGTGTGACATCAGACAAACGCAACTATTTTACTTCATACATGTAAAACTCTGTGATTTGGCTTAGCTTCAAAGACTTTTAATTATACAGGCAGAGAGATCAGACATACATGTACATGTACATGTAGCCCTAATATACATTGTACATGTACAATGTATGGCTAAGGTAGGGTACACTGTACTTACTCGGTAGGTTTGTTTTTCTTAGTTTTCATACAGCAAAAGAATTAGCGACAATACAGTACGGTAGGTGTGTGATCAGAAACTGTGTTACTAGTGTGACACTTGGCTCATTGCTTTGGAGGGGAAATATTTTTATTATTTTATGAACAATCTTGATTACAAAACAAATAACTTAATTCAATTAAAGAAATTAATTCCAACATGAACACTTGTGTAGTACACATTTAATGTACGTACATGTAAGTGTACATGCAACTTATGAGTTTTATACACAACATACTGTACTTCAGCACACAAATCAAAGAACTATAGCCATAACTTTTGGAAAGTTTGTGGTTGTAAGAAACCTTTAACCCTAACATTCCTGAATGCTACAAAGTACTACTTAGTAGTAAAATGTAGTACTCAGCCCTGTCGTTTGTAAGAGGACATGACATTATTATTCTCTGACATGTTTGAAGCCATAAAATACAATAGAGAAGACAATGTACCATACAGTGCTGTGGCACTATGAATGCATGGTTTCATTGTTCTCTGTACGAGTAACAATGGAATAAACCGAGCCAGAAGTAGTAATTTGTAGTGCTGGGTCCTTCAGGCTAAGAGTGTTACATAGTATTTTGTAGTACTGAGTACTCCAAGCCAAACAACACCCGGTACTGTTAGGGTTAAGTTATTCGGGGTGCTTTCATTTAAGATTGAAAATTAACATTGACAGTTTCCACATTATTTGAAGAGTCAAACATGCAGGTTTTAATACTGTTGACAGAATTATTACTGATATGTAAATTTCTAAAGTCAAAAAGCATTAAATAATTGAGATTGTTTTGTTTGTCATGCATAGCTAACACTTTAATCAAAATAGCTGTATATGTTTCAAACTCATGTAGGCCTACCGGTATAATGCTCAGGAACTCCAGGTTTGATTATCCAATATCAGAAAATTAATCACATTTCAAAAACTTTAAACACATCCCATGCCAAGATTTTTAAGTCAAGTAAAATGTGGCCTGGCACCATGAAACTGACGGAAAGTAGAAAAAGTTAAAATTTAGATCATGGTATTTCCAGAAAATACACGATGCACTAACTGACGTACAGTACATGTACATGTATCACATTTACATTTCTGGGCCCTACTACAGTTGTACATGTATAACATTTGGAAATTGTTACAAGTCTGGACGTCTTGCCTTGAGAAACTGAAGCTCCAAGTCTGTGACCTGTGCACACCAGAATTGAAAAAAAGAAACAATTGTCCCAAGCAATATTTTGATACTGAATTGTTTAAAACTGTCGGCATCTGATGACAGTAAGATGAGTTTTAAAAGTAAGAATGTCAAAATCCCAAAATTAACTTTTCAGTGAAAGTTGTTTAATCAGACTGGAACTCAGACATCCATGGTAAGCTGTTTTACTCATTTCAAGGTACAGTACATGCACTTTCACACTAAGCAGTACAATTTCATGCAGATTGTGGGTAGACATGGATCTACTGGAATAATCTTACCTTGGATTTGCCATACAATAAATAGGTTCATATTTAGAAATGCTTAAAGAGCACCTCTGTTTCACAAAACCATTTGACTAGGTCCCCCACCGCAGGTTACTTCATAAGCTGAATCACTACGTAATCAGAAGCTCCATCACCATGTTATTAGAAAGTTTTCTAACAAATAGAACCCCACAGGTAGTAACCAAAAGAACAACTTCCTCATCAGTTGCATGTACATGTACATGTATAGTGGCATCAGGTGTACCCTAGGGGACTGTCCTCAGTCCATATGCAGCAAGGTATGAGACGGA